ATAACTAGTTGTTAATACTGTATTGTTTTGGCAATAATGACAAGAAAAAATGTCCATAATATTAAGTATACAGATTAATTTTTCCCTAATATTTTCAGTCGAGTTGGTTGAATCTGTGGGTGTAGAACCTGAGGATACAGAGAGCCAAATGTAGTACCCCCAAACTTTCAGTTCAGCTTGGGAGTGTTTGTAAAGCTCATGTACAAGCCTGCCACTTGTTTTTGGTGTAGTTCTTGAGTTGCTACTGTCATTAAGACAGTCCTGCAAATCTGTATTTTTGGTGCAGCCTTGGCAGCTCTGTGAATTAGGATCTCACTTCTCAGGTACCAGCCCTCTGGATGAGGCTGCAGAGAGAAACCTGGCAAGATTTGCAGGCCTGGGACTGCTGGCAGGGTTGGGTTTATCACAGGAAGTCTGGAGGTGAAAAGTAATTCTCATCATGGATAAAAACATGTGTCTCACACTCACATAGACTTACAGCCTTTAAAAGAAAGTTCTAAAGATAGAAGAATTTTCCGTGTTTTTCAGAATTTAAAAAGCACCCATACCCTAACATTTTCTTATTTTCATTTATGTACCTTATCAAGACAAATGTTTTCTGGATTTCTAGTAATACTATTTATCTTTTGAATTAATTAAAGAAATATATCTTATATTTTTACTTCGTTTTGCAAAAGCAACTACCTGGGTTTGCCACATCAACACATCTAGTGGAACATTTAAAAATACATTTTTAACATGTGTAGAGCTATGTGGGAAGTAATGGCACTAGGAAATCCAGTGAACAGAAAGTATTTCTCAAATTAAATTTTAAAATTTCTACCCACTTTGTACAGGAGTGTGCACTTTCTTTCTTAGTGGGTTCAAGGTCACTTTTTCCCAGCTCCAGTGATAGTATTGTTTGTCTCCCTTTGTTCCTCCCTCTCCAGCCCAAGTCTTCTTTTTTCATGAAGAATTTCTACAAAAGCAATGGGCAGATCCTCTGCCTCAGACACCCCTTAGAGGCTGGTGAGCACGCATTTATCTGGCTCTTGTAATGGGTTGTTAAAAGCACTTGTTCATCAGATATTTTCTTTTTCTTTTTATTTGTAGATTTAGAAGTATTTTAGCAGGTGTACATTTGCATATAAAAGAGAATAAAAGATAAGAAGTTGAGGCTTTTTCTTTCTCCTCTTCTTAACATCATCTCTCTCCTACCTCCCTGTACTTAATGTGTTTTCACTCTTTCTCTAGCCAGTTCTAATTTTTAGATACAAAGTGCATATCAAAAAGAAAACAATAGTCTCAGTGATCTTCAGCACGCTGCTGGATGACTGTGCCTGGGCAGCTTATGTAACAGAGTAGGGGAAATAGGTTCACTGGTCATGTCATTAGTGTGGACTTAGCAGACAGGGTGGATTTTAATCTTCTCAAGCTGGACACTGCATGGGTTGGGGCCCCTGCCTTGTTTCATGTTTTCAACTGTAATATTCTCTACTTTTAAACTAAACTCTGACACAGATTTGAATAGAGTAGATGCTTGACAGAGATTCAGAACTGAAAGCTGTAGGTTGCATGTGTGTTCTTTCTGTGTCTGAGAGACTGTTCCAACTGAAAAGAAGTGGGTGCTTTAGAAACATTTGTTTTATGTAATCGTTTTCATGTTCAGTAATTTTCTGAGAGTTAACATTACTAATGGGAAGAAGCGTTTCCCTGGAGTTCTGAGACATAAGCTAGAAGGTGAATAATGGCTACCTTGTCCACAAATTTTTAGACTTGTGGCTAAGAAGACTGAATTTTTTTCCCTTTGGAGGGAAACTTTGTCCCTTTGTCATTGATAGAAGGCTAACCTGAACTTCTAGATTTGTGACTTTTGTTCCTTGTTCATTCATTAAATAACTGTGATTGAGTAAGGCAACACAGGGTAGCTTTTATTTTTCTTTTCTTTTTTTTTGTTTTTGAGACAAGGTCTCACTGTGTGACCCAGACTGGCCTCAAACTTGTGATCCTCCTGCCTCAGCATCCCATGTGCTGGGATTACAGGTGTGCACCACTCGAATGCAGCTTATAACTGCTTGATTTGTTCCTGTCCCTTTTCCTTCCAGAAAAGCCTGGGTCTGAGTCGACGTGAAACTCATGTCCATTGCTTTTGTTCTTTGCAACTTGAAGTTAGCATCCTTCTAGGCTGTTTCAGGAGGCTTTCTGAATTGTTTAAGAGCCCCTAGCAAAATATGTACTTGCCACCAAAGAATGGAAAACCTGGTCCGTTTGATACAGACAGCTACTTAACAATCCCTTGGTGTGGTCCCAGGTCGCAGCTCCTTCAATGAGAAAGCTTTTCCAGGGTCCGGCTTGGATCCTTTGGCTGCAGAGTACCCTAAGTATTCTTGTGCCACTTTTAGTAAACATAAAGATTGCTCACTGACAGCTTGTTTCCAGGTTGCAAATGTGTTCTGTTTAAATCCTGTAGTGTCTTACATATTTTTAAAACAAAGGAAAAGGCTGGAGTCTGGTGAAACCAGGCTCACTTCCCCACCTGGAAGCTTTGGCTCAGGCCAGGGAGCAGCTGTCCCTGTGGACAGGGTGCACTCCCCAGCTGCATCTGGCCAGAGTCCTCTCTGTGTGGGTGTCTGGGTGGCTTCACTGGTGTCTTTGCTCACAGACCCACTCATGCTTGTGTACCTCGTTTGCAGAATCTGTGTCCTTGAGCCCATCCTCCCTGTGCCAGCCTGTGTGGCCTTTAGCCGCACCTGATTTTTTGAAATCAAGGCCCATTCATCCTGTTTTCTCTATCTGGATGGTTTCCCAGTGTGGCAGTTCTGACTTACATCTGGACAGCCTGTGCTGGGGGGACATTCCAGTCTGATTCAACTGACATGATTGTGTGTTTGTGGTGCTGCCTCAGTTACTGACTGTTGCTCTCTGCAAAGGACAGCACTTTATCCTACACCTTTTAAACTTCTCTCTGTCCTTAAAGCACCAGAAGCAGCCTGTGCCAGGGCTGTGGGTGGCACTGTGCCTAGCAGTCCTTAGTCTTGAGTTGCAGGTCCTGACTCCTCAGGTCAGGGCAGCTGCGTCCCACTTGGAAATTGCTTTACTTTGGGTGGCCTTCAGTGGCTCTGATTGGCAAAGGCTGCAGCAGGCCCAGGAGGCCATGCCAGTGAGGGGCCTGGGTGGGATGGAGCCAAGAGTGAGCTACCTTCCCACCACTCTCCAAACCTGCACACTCAGGTACCCATGAAGGAGAAGTCAGTAACAGGGCCCAGGTCGTGCAGGAGGAAGGGAAGGAGACCAGGATGGGAAGTGTGGGGAGCACAGAGTGTTAATCACAGTCAGTTCTGCACATTGGTGATTTCCTCCTTGCTAGATTGAGACCATCATGATATCATCCGTCTCATTTATGATTGAACAGATGCCTGATGCCCTGTCTGAAATCACCTTGCACACCAGCTTGATGTTTCTCCTTCTGAATGTCTGTATGCTTCTGTTGACCAATAGCTGCTCCATTTTTATTCTTAATTTTGTTTCTATCTTTGTTATCTTTTCTTTGACCAAATAAGTTTAAATGAATGCAGAAATGACATGTGGTTATTAAGACTTGTATCCTAAAAGCTAAAAAAAACCTTTGGTTGATTTTTATGGAACAAAAGATATTGTCATGACTAATGATTCTTTAACTTTAGAGTTTACTGCTGTCTCTCCTCCCCAGGTCACCTTCCAGCATAGGTGGGTTGCAGGTGATGTCACCACACCAGCCGCAAAGAAGCACTTTCAGTCCCAGGCCACAGCTCATGTGGCACAGACACACAATGCACATACACATTACACATGTGGCACAGACACAAACAACATATACATGATACAGACATGTATACATGTTACACACGTGGTGCAGACATGCACACACACATACATGTTACACAGACCAGTTCTTTCCCTTGTGCATATGCTACAACTAGTATTTTCTTTGTTAAATTTTTAAAAAGTACTAGTTCCATCACACCAAGCTGATTTCACAGGTCAGTGATGTTTAAAAGTGCTGCTTTGGAATTTCCTGTCTTCAGAGTTAAGAGCTCCTGATCCATATATATTTTAATGATACAGCATTTAATATTCCCAAGTACGGTGCTCATTTCAAATACTCATTTTGACTTGATTGGTTTTCAGTAGGGCAAGATGAGTTATACTTTGCTCTTTGGCCTAATGGTGGTTTTAATCCAATAATAAGGGCCTTGAAGTTAGGGTCTTAAACAGAGCCAGAAAAAGCAGGAACCTGACCAGTTGCTGATGTCCATAGCAGGAATCCTTTTGGGGCCACATTGAAGATGTGGATGTGGGTGCTGTTCTGTTTTGTCTTTGCTCGAATAAATTCTCCATCCTCCGTTGCATCCACATGTCCTTGAGACCTGAGGGAATGGGCCAGCTGTGTGGCTTGGGTCCTTGTGTAGTTTTTGTCTGCTGTCTTCCCTGCAGCATCCCCAGGGTAACTCCTCCAGGTGCAGCTGGCACCTGGCCAGGCCAGGCTCTGCCCCCTGCAAACAGGCCTCTCTCCCCGCTGGGGTTCCTTCCTAGGCTGTGGGACCCTGACGCTGACCACTCACCCGCCTCTCCAGGACCCTGCCCCCTGTGGGAGAGCCTGAGCACGCAGGACCATTCCTGGCACTGACCACCTAGGGCATCTTGGCTGTTGCTTCCCTTGGCTCCTGGTGCTCCCACAAGCCTGGAGGGAAAGGAAGCTGAGCCTCGTATCCCCCCACACCCTGCCCCAGGAAATGATTTTCTGCTTCAGGTGAAGTCTTACGACTCTTCTTTGAGTCTTGAAGCCTGGGTTCAACTAAATTGTGTTTTGTTTGCAGAATTTCTGAAAAAGTGACAGTTCAAAAAAGAAAATTTGCATGCATTTGAAAAGTGCTAACCTCAAAAAAAAAAAAGAAAAGAAAGTGCTAACCTCATAGGAATAATTTATGAAACCTCTCTGGACAGCAGGAAATTCAGTGTTCTATGCTTTCTTTAATCTGTAGAAACAAAAGCCTACCAGTTGCTGAAGAAGTCCACCCTTCAGGAACATACAATTCAGATGGGAGACAGACTCCGAGGGGCGCATGCCTCTGCAGCACAGTTTTCAGGTAAGGGCAGATTCAGCACTTGAAGCCTGTGTGGGGCTGGGGCAGGGTGGGCACTCTCTGAAGGCTTGTAGAGTTTGCTTTGTAAGAAGCTGTCATTGGGCTGGAGTGAGTGAGCTAGCACTTTCCATCCTTAGCAAATGGCCTTTGGAAGAGCCCTGCCTGCTGGATGTGTGCTGGCTTAGCATGGCCACGCCCTGAAGACCTTGGTCTCTGCCTCCTGTGTCACAGTAGTCACTTGTCCCCAGCTGCCACAGAAGAGGACCCTAGTTCATCCCCTACTTTGAAGCTCCCAGCTTCTTAGTCATCAGGTCAGCAGAGTTTTACCGGCCTGCCCTCCCTTGAGTGTTGGGAGGGTTGCATGGGAAGACTGCAGATCCCAGGAAAGGTACATTTTTAGCTTAAATGTAGTTCCTTTAATCTAGGGTATGTTTGAATTATAATTTTGTTTGTTTTCTCTCACTTTCTTATTGTACATTTATTATTTGCAGTGGTTTTCCTTTTATTATAGTGTACCTTCTTTTCAAAGTATTACTCACCTTGCGACCCCTTTGTAAAAGTACATCGATTAATACAGAGGGAAATTTGCGTTAATGGCTTAATTCTTATAAAGCCACAGTGTGACTTGTGTGAGCTACAATTTTCCCAGTAAGAATGGAAAGTGCTTTCTTAATATCATGTAACTCCTAGTTCACATGTGGATGTCTTCTTCAGATAGATGCTTTTAAGGGTTACACTTAGGGTACATCAGAATTACCCATCTCTGGAGAGGGAATTCCTGGGTAACATTAATGGTAGACTGTTTGCCGAAAAGCGCAATTTTGCTGGTTCATTGAGCACTGCAGGCCAAAGGCCCAGGGCCTGGGGCCAGAACCCTGAGGAGAGCCGGCCCTGGGGATGGTGGTGGTGGGTGCTCCGAAGACTTAAGACATCCTGGCTGTGTGCATAGACAGCTGGCCTGCATCCCGTGGGAGGTCACTGTCACTTCAGTGAGATGAACACTGGCTGACTCTTGACTGCTTGCTGTCATCACCTTCTTCACATGCAAGCCACTGAATTAGAATCCAGGGGGACTTTAGAAGGCAGTTACCCTGCCTTAATTTACACACACAGTCCCAAGAGTAATGCCTTGCTTGGCACCATGCAACTGTGAGCAGACACACATGTTGTGGGATGTTAACTCCATGAGAGCTTTTGCTAAGTGCATTGGTTACCTAACTGGACGGGTATAAAGGATTAGTAACTCTGGCATAAGTTGTACCCCCTCGGATGTGTATCAAAAATTACGGCGCTGTTAAGCATACTGATAATTAACACCCTGTTAATTATTCACAGGTAAAATAACACTGCATAAATTATGTAGTCAAGCACCCCGAGATTTAATGCCCTAAGTCCATACTCAGAATTACCCTCTTTGCCTTTCAAGGTATTTGAGTATTTTCCCCAAGTTAAAATGACACAAAATCTCCTGATAGTGTGGCTGTCGCCGTAGTTAGCGCCTCTGGTGTCCATTGCTTTGTCTGTGGTCACCACCAAGTTTCCACTGCACTCTCCCTCTCCCCCAGGGACATGTGTGAGCTACAGAGAGAAGCAGAGGCCACCTAGGAGAGTGAGGGGGATGCATTCAGAACTTGGGATCCTTCTCCCAAATACAATGAAGAGTCAGGGCGTGCCTGGGTTGCTTTCTGAATCAGACATTGCAGTCCTTGGTCTCTGTACCTGTCACTAAGGAAAGCCACTCAGGCCATGAGCCTTTGTTTTCAGATCCCAAAGTCCTTGCTAGGTTTGAGGAGTCTCCTTAGGCTGACTGTGGACACACCGGTGAGGGAGTGGCTCTGCTGCTGAGGTTACACTGCAGGTCAGAAACTCAGAAACCCTTCTGCAGAGATACTGCACTCTCTGCCTGGGCTCTCGGTGACTGCCAGTTAAGAGCCAGACATGTAGCAGAAACCTCAAGGCCCAGGGCCCCAAGAGCCAGAGATCAGGGGACTTCCTGCAGGCTGGGAGCAGTGGGACGGCCTGTTCCCCCAGCCCGAGGAAGGGGGGAATCTTACCTCCTCTTCCTCAGCCCTTCTGCTGGTTTTCAGTGGCCCGCATGGTTTTCAGTGGAGAAACGTCAGCGGGATGGAGAATATGTGATTTGGCAGAGGAGCTTGAAAGTGGTTGGGGTGGGTGCTGTGATCCAGGGGTGCCGGTTATTCCTGAGAGCTGTTTCCCAGTGCCGGTTGCTGTGTAAGCCATCGTTTCTGGCATGCCATAGCAGTGTGCCTTGTTCAGTACCATGTACCATCAGAGAGGCTGATGCACATATACATGAATCCTGCTCAGTGTAGAGCCCTTCAGGATTTTTTTTTTTTTTGGATGATTGTATTAAGCATCACAAGGGAAATCCCTGTTTCCTTCCATTCCTTACTCACACTGCTCCTCACCTCAGCAACGTGCTTGCCATCTTCCTGTGGTGGCATCGGTTTTTGCAAAGTTCCTGGAGGCCTCTCTGTTCATGTGTCTCACCGCACTGGCCGCTAACACTCCCTTCTTTGTGCCGTCACAGGTCTGAATATGGGCAGCAGTGCGCTCCAGACAAAAGCAACTCACAAAGTTGCTTCGGAAGCTAGTTTCTCATCCTGCAAAGGAAGTCCTTTGTCAAGGTAAATCATGAGAGCCCTTCTGAATAGCAGCACAAGATGAGAAGTGTCATTCCACAATGATTTCAACTCTGGCTGCATGTTATTTTCTTGTGTGACTTGATAGAGGGTTATGGTTTGCAAGTTTTGTTGTTTATCTAAAATCACAGTCAAACCTTTAGTCTACCTTTGAAAATATTTGCCCCACAGCCAAGTATTGTTTTGCAGCTGTTGTTTCCTTGCTGTAAGACTCAATTGACACCTCAGTGAACCACAAATTAGCGCCTACAGCTGCTTGCAGTAGGGCTGCTTAGAGACCACACAATGGGGGGCTGTCAGGAAAAGGGCAGAGAGAAAACATCAGGCCTGCAAAGAAAAATGTGGCCAGTTTCTCCTTTCTGAGCGGCTAATAGATAAACTAGCCATTGCTGGATGTTAGTTTTTGTATTCTTTTTTACCAAGTATTTAGGCTACATTACTATTTCCATCTCTGATACTTTCCTTTTTTTTTTAAAGAACAGAATTTATCTTTTTACACTTGTTAAGCTATAGCACTTCATGTAAGATTTTTTGAGCAATGACAAGTGAATTATGAGCAGAATTTGTCATCAATATAAAATACTGATCATGCAGTGGGATATAAACAGTCATCTGAAGGAATGCCTACCCTTTTACTTTAGGCTGACTGTCATTTAAAACAGTACAGCAAATTTCCTATTGTAGTAACACTGTTAAAAAAAGTGTCCTTTTGATGATTGCATTACATTTGAATTTACTACTTGACCCAGATGAAATTTTAAAACAAGAATTTTACATTTCTAATGTTAAATCTACTGTCCCATTACCTAAAATGATCTGATCCACAAATACCATATTGAAATGAAAAAAAATCCTACTTTCATTTACATTTTGTGAGAATATTACAGCATTTTAGGACCTTGAATATATTAAAATAAGGTTGGCTTTCTAAAATTCCTACATTTCGTAATTTGACAAGTATCCAAAACGATCATTTAATTGTGAGAAATTACTGTCTTTAATGCTTGTGTTTTCATCCATTTTGCAGAAGGAAGTGTCAGATAACTAGTAAGGAAGAGTGTTAAAGTATTGTATTATTACGGTGATGTTATAAATTCGAGCCCTCAGTCTTTTATAAGAAGTTTTAAAGAACAATAAATTCTGTAGTTTTTAGGATTTAAGGTTACCATTTGGCTTGATAGTATAGCCCTTCAGTTTTTAATGGTTAGAAGTGTTTCAATTATATTTCAGAGAAATTTAAAAAATAAATTCTTCTTAAATATTTCTTTATAAATGTTCACTGGGCAGTTTTTAAGTATATTCAAAAACAGGTGAATTTCGTAAAACATTTTCTCAACTTGATAATTTCACATCTTGTCCATATTTCACCAAAAATGCCTTCCAAATGAAGGCAGAGGTCTTTAGTTATTACTATTGTTTCTTTATGAAATTAATTTCCTAACAAGTGACAAGGAATCTCATCACCCCTTTTGAAAAGAAGAAGAAAAACAAAGGTCTTCAAGGAATCTTGGTTCTAGACACTTGCTGACAGCCCCGTGACCAAAGGTCCAGGCATCGAGTGTGTGGGTCTGACAAGCTGTTTGTGCTGTGGGTCTTGGGCTGGGTCTGGTATTGTGAGTTCCGCACCCTGGCTTTGGAGAAGCCCGTTTTGCTGTTTGAGCCTGGAGTCATCGCTGAATTTTTTTCAAGGCTTACATTTAAGGATCCCACTTACTGCACTCACTCCTTGTGCTTTATTGCTTTTACAAGTGGTCTCGAAACCCAGTACTTGAGAATAAACATAACAGTGCAGCGCTGCTGTAGCACTTTTAAAAATTCTTCTTTGCTCTGTTTTGTCAGTGAGCTGATGAGCAACCTCAAAAAAAAAAAAAAAAGACCCTGCTGAACCTTAAAAAAAAATGGCTTCCTCTGATGTCCTACAGACAATAATTATGATGTGCTAGTTAAGCCCAAACTACAGCTGAGGGATTTTACTTTAAAGCAGCGGCTTGGGCGAAAAAATGCATTTATAGCTCTTTGTCTGCACCTCATTATGTGTGGGCCTGATTCATTAAGTAATTGGTTTGCAGTTGTTTACATGAGTATTAAGGCCTTCTTTTCAGCCGCCTTTGAGAGATACATTGTGCAAATGTTGCCTGTGATGAATGCGGAATGAGGGCCAGAGGGCCCGTCCTATTGGCTAAACAGTGCACTCTGTTGAAAAGCCAGAGAAAGGGATTGGGTGCTGCTTTGCATAGCAATGACTTTCTTAATAAGCGTTACAGATTAATACACACAGCTATAAAAGATGCAAAGAGATACTCTTAGCACATTTATCCATGCTCGTTTCATTGTGATGGTGCTGGGCTGTGGGTGCTTTCGTGTTCCGTTTTTCAGAGCAGCGGCTCCAGAGCATGAGCCGTAATAGAATCCAATGTTTATTGTATTATAAATCATGGGCAAGTAGGCAGATCGGCAACAGTTTATTATTAAAGATTCTTTCAGTGTAAATCTTTTTCTACCATTGTATTTGCTTCAGCAAAATCATTTTGTGGTTGAGTGGGGATGAAAGGCATAATGTTCGAAGGAGTGAGCCCTAATAGGAAGCTGCTCTCTGAGTAAAGACCACTTGTTCCCTTTTGTTCGGGGTGCATGCCAGAGCTTCCTCTCCTCTGCAGACATTGTCTCCCTTTACCTTCCCCAGGAAGCGGTCTCCCCTCTGCCGATCTGGTTATTCAATGAGGAGCGTATTTTAACAGCCTGCTATGTAACTAACTTCAACTTGCTGCTTTCTGCCTTGTAACGTCAGCTTACTGGTTGCATCGAGATGGTGCTTTTGCTAAAAGGAAAGGGTATGTGCCTGCCACGTAATTGCTGGTGGGAAGGTAACAAATCACCCAGGCACCCACCCCAGGGTCGCTGTGGGTGGTATTCCCTGCCTGTCGTGCAGCCACGGGAGCGGCCAGCGGAGGGCGCCAGCGTGTGCCCGATGCTTGGATGGGGACCTGGCAGCCGTCTTGCCCTGTCACTGTGCTGTTTTCCCTTGGATAATATCCCGATCACGAAGACTCAGTTGTCCAGGGAAATAATGACAAGTTTTTCTTGGAAATGGTCTAGGTTCTCTTATAAATGACCATCCCTGTCTCCGGTTTAGCAAACATGTATTCTCCTTCAGTCCCACTGAATTAGCAGCTTCCCCGGTGTTCCTCAATTCCCTATCATAAACCCGCATGCCTTGTCTTTATTTTCTGTACAGAGGATTTCTGCAGAAGAAAATCACTTGTTCACAAGTTGACCCCTAACAGTTAAAAACGGCATCTGCTGTAGGACCCACGAGTAACCATCAGGGGGCGCTCCGACTTTGTCAAATTAACACCACCACAGCCCCATGGGCCTCTAAAACTTGAAATTCGCTTTTACAAAGATTTGTTGGTGTGGCTACTGGAATTTTTCTTTTTCTTTTGTTCTGAATTTTTTTTTTTTTTGCCTCCTGTTTTTCAAAAATATATATCTATTTTGAGAAAAATTCCAACTGGAGATAGTACTTGAGAAATGTTAATATTGATTTTATCTAGCAGTCAAAATCATTGAAAGTATTTGACTCCAGAACCTAGAGACCACACCTTGTCATAAAGTCATTATTATCAGTCTCACAATAGGCCTGGAACTAAAAAGTCAGGACACTTCAAGGAAGGCGTGTCTCCATTCTGAGCCCAAGAGGTGGGGACTTACTAGGGCCACACAGTGAGCAAAGTTGGGCGCTTGAAGCTAAGATTGGCCCAGTGCTCATCAATCCCAGCATCTGAAAGCAGGTTACATGGTGTCCAGGGCCTGATTGCTCTGACCCAGCCCTTTCCCTGTCCCAGGGTTCACAGCTTCTCACGAGGTAGGGGGAGACCCTGTGAGGGTCTGGGCAAAAGCCCAGAAAAAGCGTCATGGTCTAGTTCTGCTCTGCTGCCAGCTGGCTCTGTGGCTGGGCCGCATCCCTCAGCCATCTGGGCTGTGTTCCCCATTCAGTGATGGCTCGGGGTTCTAATTCTCTAACCATCAATGCTCATTTCTCATATAATATGGATTTCTTAGCCTTAGGTTTTCTGGGTCTCATTTTGTGTCTATTTACTGGTTCTACAAAGCAAACTTAAGTAATTGCAGTAATCCTTATCATCTAATTTTGTGTTTCTGTTGACCATGTGGACTAGTTCTAGTTCCTCACCTCTTTGCCCAGATGACAAGAACAGTGACACACACTCTCTGGGGTTCCATTAGCACACCCTGTTACTCTGACTCCAGTGCAGCATCTTGGCTGACTTGGCTTCTTGAGAATTCCAGAAGTGACTGTGGAGAAAGTGGCTGTGAATAGAATCAGCCTAACCTGGCTTCTCAGTCCCAGGAGAACTCATAAGCAGTTACCAAAATGCATCAGCAGATAGGATGGCTTGATGGAGAGACAGAGGGGAGCCTGAAAACGCTGGTATGGAGAGGTGTTCACTGGAGCACCCCAGAATGGCACATGGTGCTTACAGTGCAGTTGGGGTGACAATCACTCTGGCCACTGGGAAATGCCACAGATAATTGTCCACTCTAATGAAACCAGTGGAAGCAGTGGTTACGTTTTAATGTACTCCATTGTCTGCGGTACCTTATGCTTTGAGCCAGGACCTGAGTCTTAATTGTAAACTTAGGGAAAAGATGCCATGCCCTCCACCTTGGGTTCAACAAAGGGGCCTGGCAGGCCCTGGCTCTGCTGCAGGACTAGTGACAGCCCTGGGCCAAGCCCAGGCTCGTTTCTGTACAGCCCTTGAGTTAAGAGCGGTGTCCACACTTTTACATGGCAGGGGAAATAATCCAAAGAAGAATAATGTTTCATGGTGCCTGAGAGCACGAGATTCCAATTTCATTGTCTGTAAATGGGGTTTCATCAGAATACATGTTCTTCAGTTAATATTCTGTCCTTGCTGTTTTCTTGCCACAGCCAGAGCAGAGCACTTGTGATGGCCACATGGCCAGTGCCTTTCCTCCCATCTCAGTGGCCCATGTACCCAGCCTCTGCTCCCATTGTGCCCTTTGCCCTACCAGATAGAAGTGTCACTTTCGCGCTGGCAACCAGGCAGGCAGGGTGGCTTGCACATGGTGGGGTGGTGCTCAGGCCCAAGGCTGGAACCTTGCTCCTCCACATCTGAGGCCTTCAGACAGGAATGTGTTCTTGTTTTTCTCTCACCACCTGTAGAGCTAAATAAGTTGGGTGTGTGCAGCACTCCAGGGAAGCTTCTCCCTCCATCCCTGCCTGGCCTGTGCTGTACATGTCAGCCCTGAGAACCAGGTATAATAAATAGCCACCTCAAGGGCAGTGCCACACCAACTGTTGGAGATGGCTCCCTATGGGAAGTTAGCTGCCCCTCAGTCATGGGACTGGGAGACCCCCGTGCATCCTCTGCCTTTCTCAGTGGGGGAGCTATATGCACATGGTTCTGAAATGTTTCTTGTGAGAAAACTGATAAAACAGACAGGAGCCACTGCGCAATGAATTCACATTGCACCAGGATGCTGACTAGCTCCCCATGGCTTAGTCTTAAAGCCACACTGTGTAACCACAGGATGGCCAGCAAAAGCAGGTTCACGTTGCCTCGTGGGGACATGGCAAGCCTGGCTGCCTTGTGCAGAGCAGAGAGTGCCTGACTGCCTGGTATGTACCCTCTGAGTGGGACCCAGGTTGCCACTTGCTTGTTCCCACCAAGCCCAATGACTACAAACACTCATTGGCAGGGGCAATTTCCACAGTTGTGTTTCAGCATGATACAAGGCTTTTGCTTTTTGAGGGGGGCAGGGGATCCTTTTCTGGGTTTTCTTCTCTTTTTCCAGAAGGGAAGCCAAAGAAATTTGAACCACCTGATTCTAAACATGCATGCCATGCTTCTCTGTGACCATTAACCATGGGCCTAAGTGATACGGTGCCCATGCTGGGTGAGGTCCTTCATCCCCCACCCTTAGCACCTCCTGAGCACTAAGCATTGGCTCCCCAGGAGTGGCAGCAGGTGTAGCATGTATGCTGTGGAGGGGAAGGATAGCTCATCAGTGAAGGACAAGCAGATGATAAACAGCAGCTTGGACAGGTGTGGGACAAAGACAAGGAGAGTCCCGTGTCCAGGCTGTCTTGGAGGCCCTATGCCTCCTTTCAGTCTTTGTGCCCAAAGCAGTGGGAAAGCATTGAGAGCCTTACACAAGGACGTGATCAGATTCATGCTTCAAAAACCTCACTCTTGCTGGAGTGGGAAATGGGTGACAGGGACAGGATGGGTGTGGTGTCACCAGTTAGGAGGATACTGCTGAGATCCAGCCAGAAGACCCTGGCTGATCTGCCAGTGCTGTGGCAGCTGGTGGGGACACAGCAAGGGCTTTGGGGAGTGCGAGGAGCTCAGCTTGGGGGGACCCAGGGCTGTATGGGTGGTGGCAGAGGAGCAGAAAGGGGTGTGGGGAGACCAGAGGCTGGGTACCCCAGGCTCTGAGATTTAAGGAAAGGCCTGGACTGTTTGGGTGGGGACCACAGCAAAGATGATGAGTCTATTTGCAGATGGGAGTATTGACTTCAGGTGCATGGAGGAGGCCAAGGGCGGCTGTCGGAGGAACACTGGCTGTGCATCTGGAGCCTGCCTTCCTCTGTGCCCTTGTTTTTGTATCAAGGCTCCCGCTGTACATACTGCCATACCCTGTCCCTCAGTCCTGGCTGCGATATCCTCTCCATCTCTAAAATCTGAGGTCAAAGGCATCTTCCCTCCCCAGGGATCCTGCAGCCTGCACCCATCACCCACCACCAAGCACTCCATTCACCCAGCCGGTGACAGGCTTGTCCTCCCACCCTAGCTCTTCTCCTCTGGTCCACAGTTTCCCTGGACTACAGATTCACGCCTTTTCATGCCTGCAGTAGTTTTAGAATTCACCTCTCCTCTGCACCCCCAGCCCAATGTCTTCTGGTGATGGGAAGTGTGTAAAGAGTAGCATCCCTCTTGCCTTTGTTGTGTGTGCATGTGTGCGTGCGTGTGTGTGTGTGTGTGTGTGTGTGTGTGTATGTACGCGTGCATGTGCATTGGTTTAAGATGACTCCTTTGGGCCCACTCTGGGCATGCCTACCTTCACAGCACCTTGCCTGTGGCTGGCTGCCGAGTCCTACCAGGTGTCATAGGGCCTTCTGTTCTTCACAGAGGACAGCTACAGGCCTCCTTGGTTGCATCACCTGACAGGCACTGGACTTCATCGTATTGACACAGAAAATGATTCTGAAGTGGAGCTTGTTTATAAGGCAAAAAGTAAACGATGGCAGCTTGGACAAAAGGCAGGTCTGTAAGCTATAGGTCAGCCAGCTTGGCCAGGAGTTCTTGCATCTGGAGGAGCTGTGCTGGTACCAGTGGGTGTGGACATTTCCTAACATCTGCTTTGACCTCATCCCTCCTCCACGTGGACCTTCAAGAATTGAAGTACAGTAAAAAACATAAATGCTGTTCCCAGAGGGGATGTTTAAGTTTGTAGAATTGCAAAGCTCCTGAAAGGTGTGCTGAGAGCCCCATGGCAGAGCCAGCCTTCTTGTCTGCTGACCTTGGCAGATGAGCCACAGGCACTGGCACCCAGCACTAGTGTCTTGTGCATTCCACAACCCTAAACCCCAAGCATAGGCGTCTGTCATGCTGCTGCAACATGTTTGTTGCCCTCTCCTTTGTTAAAATGCTGGCGTTGCTGTCACAGCCTCACCTGGGATGAGGATTTGAATTTCCTCACCAAAATCAGGGACAGCACAGAAACACACCTGCCTTTCACAAGCGTCTTGTATTCCCTGCTCTAGGTGGCCACAGTGAGTCTTGACATTGTCTTTATGCTTTTAAAACTCTATGGAATTGGGCCAGGGATTTAGCTCAGTGGTTCCAGCGCCTGCCTCGCAAGCACAAGGTCCCGAGTTCAATTCCTGGTACCAAAAAAAAAACCCAACACACAAAAATCTATGGAATAAAAGAGAAGTTTCTGGCCTTCCTGTGAATAACAGTGTTTCTCCCCTAATGTTCTAAAACTATTTGTCTGTCATTTTTTTCAGGCTATTTTCTTTCTTTTACAGGCATGAAGACAAAAAAAAATTAATGATACATTTAAAGTCAAATGGTAAGAGAAATAACTGTACACCGATCTTCTTTTTGCATTTGAATAAAAATTTTGTTTTTGCCAGATAGTAGTCTTTGCATTCTCACATGAGGACTGTGAAGTGTCTTTGGTCCTGGGCAGCCACCCTGCTGGCCCTTGAGGTGGGATCTGAGGGCTTCTCAAGGGATGGGATTTCAGTGACAGGGCCATACAGGTACCATAGGCTGCACTGCTGAGCAGTTTCATGGCCATCTGTATTTGTAGGGCTTCCAGGCCTCCACAGCCAGCTGCTGACCAGCACCAGCTTGATCTTTCCCTTGCCCTCTGCCCTGGGAGAGAACAGGAGGTCAAAGTGGAGGAGCAGCCTGGGGGCATTTTTGTCTGTTCCTCTGTCCCATAGCAGAGCTGGACACAGAGAAAGGAAAGGGAAGTATCCCACAATGCATAGAACACAGCCAAGTGTGTGGGCTTGCATTCCCGGGTGTGTCTGTCTGGTCAGGTGCCTTGCATGGTTACCCTGTTCAAACTCTTGCAGGCTGAGGCTCCAGTTAACCAGTCCTGCTGTACTATTCTATAAACTCAGAGTACAAAAAACGTTACACAGCTATCTGCTTTTCTCTTTCAGCCTTCTGGGGGGAGTCTGATGACAGTAACTCAGAAATTGAAGCTGCCTTACGTCCTAGAAACCATGATGCATCCTCTGATGATTTTGATGACTTTTACACCTAACAAGCTGTAACATTTGCTGGAATTAGAGTCTTTAAACAAACTGAAACTCTCTGTATGTGAAATGGTGCAGAAACTTTGAGAAACAGTCCTCAAAGGGTTAAACATAGAGTTACCCCCTGACCTAACAATTCCAAAAAATATTATTCACTAACTAAAAAGTGGAAACAAATATCCATCACGTGGTAAATAGATAAGCAAAATGTAGTATAGCCATACAAAAGAGTATCATTCCTCAATAAAAAAGAATGGAATACCAATACATGCTATAATATGGATGAACCTGGAAACTATTAATTGAAAGAATTCAGTCACAAAAGACTATATAACTTATTCATTTGCATGACAAGGCCAGGATAGGGAAAACTATGCAGACAGAAAATGGATCAGTAGCTGTCTAGACCTGGGGTTAGGAGAGAGGACTGACTACTAATGAATATGGCCAATTTCGTTCTAAAATGGATAGTGGTAGCAATTGTACAACTCTGTGGATATACTAAAAACAATGATTGTGTGCTTTAAAAGATGAGTTGTATGTTACAACATGAATTACATATCAGTACTTTTCAATAAAAGGAAATTGGTGAATACATTTTGGGGTCTAGTGACTTAAGAATACCTGTTGGTAACTTTGGTCTTTGTTTTGCATTGTTTATGTTGTTCTGGCTTACTTGTTTGCTCTAATAAGAAAATGTTTTATTTTTTGGTTTTTAAACTCTTAACTTTGTGTATTCCAGCATTGTTCTTTCAATTAGTTCTTCTTCCCTACCATATTAAAAAAACAAAAACAAAAACAAAAAAAACAGGACTTAACTGTAATGGTTATTGCCATTATTTGAATATATCTTATACACATGGGTCCAAGTCAGTGGGTGATCCATGTGGAAAAATACTAAATTTCTACCTTAACACAAGAGAAATCCTAGCCAGGTCCAGGGATTTAGCTCAGTGGCACCACTCCTGCCTTGCAAGTGCAAGGTCCTGAGTTCGATCACGGGTACCCCCAAAAAAGAGAAAGCCTACCTAGAGTAAAAAATTGAATGTGAAAAGAAAAACTTTAAAAGTTTTTTTTTAAAAGGCAATTATCTGTCTGACTTTGGAGCAAGGAATAATTTTGTAACCAAGACAGAAAGATAGTCATAAAGGAAAAATATCAATAAATGTAACTGCATGAAAATTTAAAACTCTTGTGTGATAAAATTACCGACAATGTGAAAAGATAAGTCATCAACTAAAAAGTGACATTTATAGACTGTATATCTATCCCATATCTGCATCAATAAGAAATATAAACACAGTGGAAAAACAAAGGAGAGAAATGAGCAATTTGTAGAAAAAGAAACCCAGATGATCATAGACATAAAGAGATACAGAAGCAAACTATAAAAGAAATATACAATAGAGTGCAATTTCATACCCAATGGACTGGCACTAATCAGGAGGTGGATCACATAATGGTAGGAAGGACTTTAGGAAAGGGACTTTCATACACTATGAGGTGCACCTTTATAACATCAAGTTACAAGTGGGTACACCCATGACACCATGATTCCATTCCTAAATATGAACTCTAGAGCCATACTGTCCCATGCAGCTGTCATCAGCCACATGTGACTTTGGAATCTCTGAAATGTGGCTAGTACAAATTGAGAAATACACAAAAGATTTGAAGACTGGTAGGAAAGAAATAACCAAAATATTTCAATATTGGACATACATTGAAATGGATATATTGGATATGTTGCATTAAAATATATCAAACTTAATTTTGGTAGGTTTTTTCCCTACCATTTTCTTTTTACATTTTTCTAAGGTAGTTACTAGATGTGCTATTATGGTTTAGAACTAGAATGTCCCCCCAGAACTCTCATGTACTCAGTGACTGGACCTTGGTGGTACTATACTCATCAGTGGATTCATCCACTAATGAATTCACTGAGTGTGCTATTAGGAACTAGGGTTTGGTTAGAGGCAGTTTTCTGGAGACATAACCTGGTAGGGTATAGCTCCTTCCCTGACTCCTCCCTTATCACTCTGCTTACTGGCCACCATGATGTGAGCAGCTTTCCTCCATGGCCTCTCTCCCATGCTGTTCTGCCTTACAGCCAGCTGACAATTGACTGTAACTGTGAGCCAAAATAAACCTCTCCTTGTTTAATTTATGTGTGTCAGGTATTCTGTCCCAGTGATGAGAAAGTGACTAAGATTTTGGTATTAGAGAATTGGAGCCATTGCCATGATTATACCTGACTATATGGTTTTGAAGCCTTTGGAATTAGTTCTTGAGAGGAGTCTGGAAAGGTTTGGAGACATCAACAAGAGAAGCCCTAGTATGCTGTAAACTATGCTTGACGGGAAATTCCATTTGCAACTCAAGATCAGAATGCTGAAAGAAATGCAGCTGGTAAAGGGCAGGCTCAGGAGGTTTCATTTTGGTACAGTGTCTCTACTGACAGTTGGACTCAAAACCATGTGCATTATGCTCTGGCAGAAAATTTGTCTACATTTTGTCAATGGCAGATTGAGATTAAGGGTGGTGAACTAATTAATCTGGTGAAAGAAATTTCAAGGCAGCTCAGTGTTTAGGCTATAGCATGGGTACTACTTGCTACCTTTTGTGAGATTTATAGTAAAAATCAGAAACAAATGGCAGTAGAAATCATATAGTTTCATCAGAAAGGAAGTACCTGCAAAGTTAGGACAAAGGAGAATGTCATTACTGAAAAGATTAGCATTAAAAAGAAGCCAAATACTTTGCATCAGGACAATAGAAAAGATGTCTTCAGAGCATCTCAGAAATTAGTAAGACCTCATTCTTCACTGGCTCAAGAGTGTAATGGTAAAGTCCTTTGAAAGATTTTGCTTTAAGAACACAGCTCCACAACACCCTTCTCAAGAAGACCCCCCTAAAGAAATGATTCCCCAGAATTCATTTCACAGTGCTCCCTTATCCAGGCATTCACTCAGAGGCCTCTGTAGCCATGATCCAAGGGGGCCTGATTACTGCTTGAGTGTGCTGATTTTTCAGGCATGCAGAATCCAAGAGTTGTGGGGTCATGGAGGCTTCCACTCAGAGTTCAGAAGAAGGCCTTGGAGGCAAGGCAGTCTGCTGCTTTAAGATGCAAGAGTGAAGCCGCCAAGTATAGTGGAGACCCCAGGAAGTTTGAGAAGCCAGGCATGTACATCTGAGGGAAGCCACAGGCAGTGAGTAGAGCCACCCCAAGACAGAGGCCATAAAAAATCTGTCATCTTTTGTCCAAAGAGATCTCTTGCCAAAACATGACATTACTCAATGGCTACCAGCTCCAGAAATATCCCCTTTGCCACAGTGAGGATGCCACAGTGATCAGAAAGCTGCCACAATCAGGAAACCACCACAATAAAAAAATCCCCACAACACCTGCCAGTTCCTGATTTGTGTTCCCCTTCTACCATCCAACCAGCAGAATGGATATCCTGTGGTGTGCCTCGACACCCTGGGTCCTCCACTGACCCTCAACAAACAAGCTCCTAACCCAAGCAGCAGCAGCAGCAGCAGCAGAGCCTTGCCTCCTTCCCACTCTCCAAATCTCGTGCTTGGCAGGAGTGATCTAAATCACAACAGAACTCTAGCTGCAAGGGAATCTAGGAAATGTAGGTTTGGGCTTTCCAGGCTCTGCAACATAGCAAAACATACCAGAAGGGGCTGAAATGGATGTTAAATACTCTTATACCATATTCTGTGTACATATCCACCACGACTGGTCCAGGGATATAATTGAAAGTTTCTCAACAGGGAAACCAAATCCAGAGATGAATTCTGTGAACCACTAAAGTCAATTTCACTGAGTCCTGTCGCTAGAAACTCATCCTTGTAACCCCCCCACACACACTTTGTTCAGGCATAAACCTTAATGAGGTAAGTCCTGGTGGAAGATCATACACAGATAACTGTCATAAAATTTCCTGCATTTGTTGCCACTGGGACTTGGCTGTCCTTGAATTTTTCATCATAATGAATTGTTTTTCTAATTCTTTTTAAGTGATCAAACATTGCTCTCTCTTCCCTGGCTCTCCCAGTTACCCTGTGGTTTGATATACTCAATGATCACTTATGTTACTGACAGATGAGATTTATTTAGGCCCCAACACTGTGATAGCCTGTGAGCTTCTTACTGTATCCCCTCAATAACACAAAAATTAGGAAACCAAACATCTAAAAAAATACTAACAGCTTTCATCTAATTCTCAAGTTTTCATGCACTTTCAGTATTCCTGTCATTAATGGCAGTGACCTGAACACAGTGCTTGGGTGACAATCAGATTTTGATGGATCAAACTGACAAAAATACATTAACAATGATCACAATAATTTTAGCCCAATGTCCAAGCAGATAAGGATGGTGCTCATGAACTTACCCTGAGTGACAGAAACTGAACTTGTCTAATAGACTCATTAGCAGTCAACGGCCAAGACTTCAAGTCTAACTGCTTTCAGTAGTAGTTGTAGATATTTATTTCAAAATCATCTGGACATCTCTGATTCCTTAAGGTAGTTCCCTTTAAGTCTTTTTGAATGACATATTGTCATTTGCTTCCCTCTGCTGATGTTTCCCATTTCCTCAGGCTAGTCCAGCCATTGACACAAAGACTCATATTTGATGACAGATGGTTCTGTGAGCTTCTGGTAAGGCCGTATCTCACTTTTGGAATGTGTGTGATAACTGAGTTCCTCTAGAGCCTTATTTATTATACTATTATTGTGCACAAACTCATTAAATGTAAAACATTCTGCCAGTCAAGTTGATCCTACTCTTCCCCAGCTGTCATACTGGCAGCTCAAAGATGAGGACAGATGATACCAACGGACACTACCACTGCCATCGCCTGCCTTACCAGATGGAGAGCCTGGTGCCACTCGACTGAGGAAGCATGCTAGAGGTCAGAGCTAGGGAGCCACTCTGTGGCGTCCTGTGGTTTAATCACCACAGTAGTTCCCTGAATAGCATTTGTAGGGTCCTGTTGGCTGGGCCTTCCTAGCACTTGCAAGCACACTCAGGTGGGGTGTGAAATCAATTGCAAACATCAGACAGCACCCCCTCCTTTCCCATGACAGCACTGTCAGATGTGCATGTGGGCTGGATTCTTGCTAAGGACCAGTCTCCCTTTTCAGATATGCCTGCATCCAGTCTCAAGGCACAGAGAAGCATTTGTACAACAATTTAAGAAGCTGTTATTCAGTTTCTTATTCTATAGGAGCATCCATTCAGGAGGACTTGCTATGCCCCAGGACTGTGGCAGACCAGATCTATGGTAAGATGGATTTGGCATGGTCTCTGCCCTCAAAGACTTGAACAAAAAAGCCCACTGTCACCTCATTGTGAATTATTTAGGGTGATATTTCAGCTGCTATGACAAACAGGCTCCCAGTACATTGGCTTGGGAAATGTGGAAGTTTGTTTCACAACCATTAAGAGCCCCAGGCTTAGCAGGTAGATCTGTTCCATGCATTCAGAAGCCTAAGTCTTTCCTATTTGATTCCTCCACCTCCCCAGGGAACCATCCTGGTCTGTGTGCCCAACCTGGGTACCAGGCACAAGGAGAGGAGGAGAGAGAAGTCCTACTTCCTTCCCAGGAGTGGCATGGGAATTTCTCATGTTCCACTGGTGAATACTTAGCCCTTGACCATACCTAGCCATACAGTTGGTTGGAAAACAATCACCAGCTGTGCAGCCATGTTCCTTGGAAGAAAAGCAGATTTTGGTGGAAAACTTTCAGTCTTCACCACACAGAGCTGTGTGGTAAATACTGACAGAGGAATGTGCCCAGAGAGGTCAAACCACTCTATGGTTAAATGCTCAGGTTCCTTCAGTGGACCTTTTTTGAGTAGAGATGATTGCTCTGAGGGGGCTACTTAGAGTGACATCTGGTTGCTTCTCGATGAAGCAAAGAGGAAGGCGAAAAGGTCTTTGCTGTGTGGTATTGAGGGGTAGTAAATAAACACTAGGCTTCCAGCCTCTGGCAGTGGGACA